GGAGCTCAGAAAAGTCTAGTATAAAGTGTTCTTGGCAAATTGGACTTTAATTAATAGAATATATGTGGTTGTAGTATTAATCCTGTGAGTAAGAATTATAAATGCACGCTAAGGAGATTTTTACAGTCTCTGCATGCTGATTAGCACAAAAACAGTTCTCTAGCCTCATTGTACATGCCCTGTGGTAGACGGAGGATGTAGCTTTTGGACTGTAGCCTATCAAGAGGATGTCAGCTTGGCAGGCTGCTGGATATCCAAGCCTCTCTTTTCCATTTACCCAAATGGAACCTGGGACCTTTCCCTTGGAGAACAGGATAAAGGTACCAAAAATCCCACTGCCTACAAGTCAGTTCTAATGCCTAGTGACTCTATAGGATAGAGTAGAACTGTCCCATAGGATTTCCAAGGCTACAAATCTTTACTGAAGCAGACTGCCACATCTTTTTCCCATGGAGAAAGTCAGTGAAGTACTGATCTTTTGCTTAGCAACTGAATGTTTTAACCACTGTGCTACCAGAGTTCCTTAGGATATGAATAGAAGTTATAAAACCTCTGGTTATCCATACAGTACAGTGCTGATATTAAAAAAAAAAAAAAAAAGCCTGTCAGCAGAAATATAGTATCTTAGAGAAACAAACAAACAAAAAACTCATGTAATCCCCAAAGGAGAGCTTCCAAGCAGATTTTTAAGTATACCCTCTGTACCCCCACCCTCACCCCCCCAAATAAAGAAGTCTAGGAAATACTAAGGATTCATGGTATGGAAAATGCTAGGCCTAGAGTCAAGAGACTAGAATTAGTGTCTCTGCTTTGTTGCTTCTTGAGGTTGTGGAAGGCCTTTATTTCCTCCTCTGGGAATAGTGAGTAATACCCACTCTGTGAAGGTTATTAGGAATGGGGAGGGAAAAAAGAAAAGAGGTAATACCTATATAAACAAAACAGTAACAGTAATAATACGTGGTAAGTTTTCTAAAATTTTATTGCAACTTCATGGAGAAAGTGAGAAGGTGAGAGAGAGAGAGAGAGATCATAAATAGCAAAGAAATGGAAAGAATAAAGAAAAGAGAACAGACACATTGGGAAGGATGGAGCAGGAGTACTAGAAGAAATAGGTGTAGATTCTTATCCTAGTATTTTGAGCCCAAAGACAAAGCAAAAGAATTAGATTTGTAATTCTGAAACTATGTAGTGCTCCTTTAGAAGTCCACGGATGATGTGGTGATCATATAATTTATTTTCCAAACCAGGAAACTTTTCAGAGTGAAAAGGGATGCTGTTATTGATAACACCTGGGCAGCAGCCATTCAAGGACTAACCTGGGTAAACTGTGATGACTGGTCAATTTTGTGAAAGATGATATCCATTTTCTTCTGTTTCTGTGCAAGGACATATGCACAATGAACAAAATAAGGACTTACTGTCTATGCATATATAGGGATTTTTTCAGAACTTCAGAAATTGAAGAAGTTATTAAAAAGTCATTTTTTTTTTTTATATAGAGTATTTTGAGGAAATGAAAGAATATGGCCCAATTCATATTCTGTGGTCAGCATCAGAAGAGGATTTGGTTGATAGCCTTAAAGGTGTTGCCAGCTGCATTGACAAATGCTGTAAGGCCACTGAAAAACGGATGTTTGGACTCTCAGAGACCCTACTGCCTGTCGTACATGAGTATGTGCTTTATAGTGAAATGTTAATGGTAAGAAGACCTGATTATACTTTTTACCTCACTCTCTTATGTGTTTATAAGCTCCTCAAAGGCAGTTTCTATTTCTGTTTTGTTCATCACTGTCTTCCTATCCTAACAGACTGTGTTGCATACAGATGCTATATTAATACTTGCTCACTGAATGAATGACTAGGTTAATGTGAGAATACATTAATAAAAGACAGTACTCAACAGCAACAAAAAGTATTCATAAGATTACAACATAGATGCAAAGCATCCTCAGTCCAGATTTACTTAGGGAAAGTGATTAGTTTCTATAATCTTTTAAATGTTACTTTGAAGAACTTTCAGTGCTTTGGGGATTTCTTTCAACAAAAAGTTGCTTTCACTTTTCCAGCAGGGCTTTAAACTGGTTTAGACCAGTTCAGTCACGGCCAACAAGTGAAACTGGAACAGTTTATAATTTTTTAATTAAATGATCCAGAATGATAACTGGAACAGGAAAAATTATGAGTCAAAGTCCTGGAATGGAAGACTCAGAAGAGGTATAGTGAGCCCTTTCAAGAATCTGATGCATGAGACTGGATTATTGGCAGAACTGTGGAAAGCGACAGACATTCAAATGATGCTCCTGGCCACCATCTTTTAACAGGGCACCACTGTTTCTGTTTCTACTCAAAATCCAATGGAGAAGAGATTTGGTTGCTATGCAACACATGCCCTGCCCTTGGTTTTTAAGAGAGAGATTAAGTTTCTAACAGAGCTTCGATTCTTAATTTTTCCTGTTCCAGTTATCATTCTAGTTCACCCAAAGTTTAAAAAATTAATGTCTGTTGTGGTTTCATTTCCTTAGCCATGATTGAACTGGGATGAACCAGTTTGAAGCCCTGTTTTCCAGGTACGTTTGATTTAGCAACACCATTTTGTAGAAAGTACTCCAGTAGGATTGAGCTTGATGCTTGTTCTATTCTCTGCATTCTGTTGAGGGTGCTTTAAAAAACAAAACAAAACAAAAAAACCTTCAAGTTAAAAATGTTTCTCTTTCAGTATTTGAAAAGTCTTTCATTCCTCTTAAGTCAACATTCTGCATTTTAACTCTTAGTTCAAGTTAAAGTTTCCAGATATTTGAGGTTTGGCAATATTTTCTGCAAAGCTAATTCTTATCATCCAGTGTTATCATTTCTCCATGGTCCCTTGTACAGCCAAACTGACACCTTCTGGTGTTTCAAGATGAAGGTAGGAGAAGGTGTCAACTTGCATTCAGATACAGCTCATTTCTTTTGCTGTTTGTAATTGGAGCCATGCCTGGTTTCTGTTTTCCTGTACTCTTGATTTCTAGGATTTTTTTTTTCCCCCAAACCTTTGTCTTCGTCTTGATAAGAAAAGCTCTGTTAGCTTTGCACAGCTCGTGTAATAGATCTGCCTTTCACATGTTTAGGTCCTTCTTTGATGGAGTCATTATATATTTTGTGGGATTTTCACATTTTTGCTGTTACTTGACTTTATCGAAATTCTCTTATAAACAAACCCTTCTTCCTTCCCAGGGGCTTCTAACATTTTACTGCTGTGGAGTTTGCTTCTTGTCTCTGTAAAATTCCTCAGCTATATCCTGTGATTTTACTTCTTTATTGATCTGTCTCTTGTGTGGTTTCCCAAAGAAGCCTGATTTGTATGTATCATGAAAATAGTATATTTTTCCCCTTAAGTAGATCTGTTTTGTTTTTATTATGTCAAGATGGACATTATAATCTAAACATAATAGAATATTTAAAGTCTTATGTCTTTAAAGGTATGGAAAAATTATAGTAGCAACCAGAAATAATTATTTTTGAGACCATTTGATTATGTTATTCTACAGCTTTTTAGGATATGATCAATAGTATTTATATTGCATTGTTCTGATTCTGTTTTATGTTGCAGTTTATTTTTTTCCAGTCTGAGCTAAAAGAATGAAAAATATGTCTTGACAAAATGATTGTTTGTGTAATTTTTACAACTTCTGAAGGAAAGTCTCATTTAATTATAAAGCATAGTCCTTAATATTATGGAAATAGACCTGAAATAAATGGGACTGAATTATAGATTGAGTTGTTTGGATTAAAGAAAGGAAGGGGTTTGCTGATGTTAGTGGCAATTAAACATTGAAATAAGTACAAGGGAACTTGTGGTAGTTTTTCTATTGATTTCTTTAATAGGAATGTTAATCTCTTCTGAATGTTTTAAGAGTGACTCCACTAGACACATGTCCTCAAGATCTTTTTACCCTTAATGCCTCTCATTTCTCACTCAGTTACTGTAGAGCTGTCTTACTTGACCTCCATATAACTGATTGGTGTCTAGATCCTTCCCTTCTTCTGTAAGACACAAAATGGCCCTTCTTTGTAAAGCCCTTCCCATCTTTGTTGTGCATTTCCCCTCTCACTGGTTGGTTGCTTACCCAGAGTTAGCTGGTTGGTTTTTTTTTCTGTTTCGTTTTGTTTTTTCTTTTTCTTAATCTGTTTAGGCCATTTGTGCTCACTATTAGAATTTCATTATTTAATTGATATTGTGAAAACTAATGGAATATGAGTGAAAAAAAAGAATACTTACGTCTGTAAAGTTTAAATAGAATGTGTTTGGAGAAAAGTGAGTCTTCAAGAGAAAGGCACTGAAAAAATTGGCAAAAGTAATAAAAGATGTGGATGGATTCTGTCTGTATTCAGTTGCTTCACAAAAAATGTTTTAAGTTTGAAGACACTGAAACACAAAATCATGCTTATTCAAGAAAACAAGTTGGAACTCCTGTCAGTCAAACAAAAGGCCATGATTTCTCATCAAAAGCTTGGCTAATTAATGAATATTTATACATTTTGAGCTAAAATAAAATGCTTAAGGTATGAATAGTACTTCAATTTTCTGATTCCCCACTATAATTGCCTGTTTTGATTAACCATCCCTTTGGAGTTGCATAAGAGGGTTGCCACTGATTGTAGATATTTTCAGGTGAGAGTCCCAAGGTAGCCTGTCAGCTGCAACCAGTTTATAAGATACACTATATTTCTCATGCTCCTACTGGTTTTCTTTTGTTTGATTATTGTATTTTTACATAGATAACATACATGTTGTATGATTTTTCTGCAAACTGTGCAACCCCTTCTGTGTTAGTTTCCCGTGTACACTAGGTGCACTATATGCATGAGTGGCATGAGTGCATTATTTGCAGAAAATACCGTATTTGTTTTGTTCTTTGCCCCTTTTGAAGATTGTACATGGTTAGAGGGCCCCTTCAAAAATTGTCCATGTAATACTTAAGCAAGTAAAATGTGTATTAGGAAGGCTAATAAAAAGATTTATGAAAAAATTCTTTTATCTTTTATAGATTTAAAGAATTTTTTTCTTAAAGGCATTATATCCCTAGATGACTGCTGGCTTGGGGAGGAGAAGGTATTTATATTTTAAAATGTATATTTTTGTTATAGAAATGTTTAGTAAAACTAAGTACAACCTATTTTATACTCATGTTTTGTATGAAGGGTGTTATGAAAAGAAGAGACCAAATACAAGCAGAACTGGACTCCAAAGTAGAAGCTTTGACCTACAAAAAGGCAGATACTGATGTGGTAAGTTTTTAAGTTTCTTGGTATAATCATATGGCATTCATTATCTAAAATTTTTATAAACAAAACAGAGCTAAAATGTATGTTTGTTTCTAAGGATTCAGAAAATGATTCTAGAACCTCTTCCAATAAATCTATTACACATTGAGTACCAAGTGAGTTTCCAAGTTTGTCAGTCATGCCTTTCTGACTTCCTGACTTATAAGGTCTTGTACTCTGAGGGAAGTGTAAATTTTTTCAAAAGGACAGTCCTAGAAAGTTAATAGGTTATCAATAATTAAATCACTTATTGCTATTTAAATGTTTAAAAATACTTATATAAAACAGGTTGGTGTTCTTAGTTGTTATAAGTGTCTTTACAAAGGAGATATCTTTGTTTTCAGGTTTAATGCTTTTCTTACAACACTTTATTATGGAAATTTTCAAACATAAAAAGAAGTCTAATAATGTAATAAACTCTCATATGTTCTCATCACTGGGCTTTAGTAATTCCCGATTTTTAAATAGATCTCTTTCCCCATTATCATTTTACTGTTATTGTTATTTTTTTGGTCTGACGTATTCTAAAGGATATTATTCTACCCACAAATATTTTGGTATTTATATTTTACTATTTTTCCAAATTTTCTTAACTATCCTATCAAATTGGAATTATTATTCTCGTTTTAAAGCTGAGTAAGATTCTTAGAAGGTAATGTAACTTGTCCAAGTTTATATAACTCTTAAAAGGCAGAAGATTAGAGGTGATGATGTCTCTTGGCCCACATCACACAATGCTATCTCAGAGAGTGAATATAGAGTGGGGAAACATTATTATTCTAGTGAACTTCTGTTGAGCATTCTGTGAAAGATACATTCTCTCTCTCTCCCCCTGCCACAATTTAAAGATTTAGATCAATATTGAGTGTTGTACTGAGTATAAGGAAGGACCCCTGGTGGCACAATTATTTAGCACTTGGCTGATAACTGAAAGATCAGTGGTTCAAACCCACCAGCAGCTCCATGGGAGAAAAGTCCTGGTGATCTGCTCTTGAAACAATTGTAGCATAGGAAACTCTGGGGGGAAAGTCTACACCATCCTATAGGGTCCCTATGAGTTGGAGTCAACTCGGTGGCACACAACAACAGCAATAACAATTGCATTGGGTATACTTGTGTCAGGTGAGGGGGCAGTCCTTCAAACACTCCTGTTAATCCATAGTATTTTATCCCCCAGCCTGACTTGGCTGAGGACTTTCCAGGCCTCCTCCCTGCTTTAATTTTATCCATAGCTTAATCACTCTTTGATATAATATTAAAAAAACCTCAAAACCAAACTCACTGCCGTCAAGTGGATCCGACTCATAGGAACCCCTCCTTGGGTTTCTGAGGCATTATCACTATGGAAGTAGATTGCCCAGTCTTCCTTCTGAGGAGTGGCTGATGGGTTTGAACTGCTAGACTTCTGCTTAGCAGTTAAGTGTCTTAGGCACAATGCCACCAGAGCTCCTATTAACATGATTGTCTTAATATTATTTTCTTCTCATTCCCACCTCCAGAACCCAGTCATCTGAAGGGAAGGAACTTTTTATTTGTTCACTGAAGTGTTCCCAGCCCTCAGGATGTAGTCATTCAATAAACATTGAGTGAGTGAATGAGTGAATGAATGAGTGAAAATTACAGTGACTACTCTTATTCATGATACCATATTATAGTCTTTTAGAAAGAGGTCTCTATCAAGTCAGGCTTTATGAAAAACACTAAGACTTCACTAAACGGCAGTTATGAATTAAATTCTTAGTATCACTTTTATTTGCCAAGTTTGAAAACTATATTTTTTAAACTGAATTTCTCTTCTTCTGAATGGAATGTGGATAGGGATGGCAGACTGCTGTAGACGGAGTAGGAGAACGGAATCGGTAACAGTGAGTAATAGAAAGTACCGCATCAGTGGAACTGTTGCTTGAGGGAAAAATTATATTTTGACCTTAAAATGAAGAGAAAGGAAGATCAGCTTTTCTTTCTGGCATAAGGGGCTTATTTGCTTTTTGGGTAGTTGTTTAGAAATTATATCTGCATCTCTTGAACTTTAGAATCTGTTTTCAATTTGTTAAATGATTCTTAAAAATATTAAAATGGTTGCTTGGATAAAATTTTATCTTGGACAAGTACTAGAAAAAATACAGTATTTTAAAGTTCCAGGAGATGAGTAAGATGTCTTAAAAACGAAGCATCAGTTCAGAATGGCCTATATTCATATTTTAAAATGAAAGGAAGATTGTTGGGATGGTCTCACCACAGAAATACTGGGGAAAATAAATAGCTTTGGCCAAAATATGGCTAGACCTTCCATTCTCAATTAAAAAAGTAGATAAAGGATTTTTTGTTTTTTCGCTTGGTTTGCGAATACCTTGTCTTTTGCTCTATCAAAATGTCTTTGATGCTTTCATTATAACCTAACGGTCACTATGCATTTGTGATTTGTTTGTGTTATATTCACCGTAGAGTATTTAATAACTAATTATTACCTAAATTGTGACATTGGAGAAATTTGAAACTTCAGTCATCTCCTTTATATTTTGTAGGATACTTTCAGTTGATACTTGAAACAGACACATTTAACAGAGATTGTAATCATTATTATTATTGTTGTTGTTACCCATCAAAATAAATCCTTCCTAAAATGTATGGGTACTGATCTAATTATTTGTGAATGGCACCATTTATATTTTTTCAAACAGTTAATCTGTTTACATACCTTCTCACTTCCAAAACTTTGTGTTATGATGGAATCTTTGGAGAAAACCTCCAGGTTTATTAAAAAAATGAACCTGCTATGATTGGTCACAGTACAAATGAAGAAACGTTGCTTAGAAATATGCAGGATAGGGTCACCATGGAAACACATCCTTGTGAGGTCCTTCTAAGGAGCAGTCCTTTGCAGTCACCATGGCGACCCTGGCAGAGAACTGAATATAGCTATCTAACCTGGTTGTTTACCATGGCAACCCAAGCAGGACCATTTTGGGGACATCCCTGGGGCCATTTCTATAGAGACTTGATAAAGCTGCCTTTGGAGGCTCCATCAAAGCCACCTTTGGGTGAGATGCTGTATGCAAACCCAGCAAAGCAACTGATAATGAAGAGGTCATTGTGCTGAAGCTCTACCAAGAAGGATGAGGACTAGGGGAGTTACTGGGTAGAAATGTATCAGTGTTATAAATTTCTGGAGGTCATGTTCAACATAGGTGACCTTTATGTGGACTTTGTGGCTTGCAAGCACAACATGTTTACCTTGCCTGTAATTTTATAAAATTTGTAAATTGGCAATAATGGCATTATAGTTACTTTTCCTCATCATACAAATTTGCCCACAAAAGTTATGTGTTCTTTACAAACTAAAACAATTTTTTAGAGAGAGCTCCTTAATTTATTATCTGGGTAGTTGCACAGTAGCTACTTCTTAACCTTTTGGGTTTGTAGTTCTTGTCTCATGGCAATAACATTAACAGTTTCAAAATGACCTCAACTCAGTAAAGATAATAACGTAAAGAAAGAGCTTTACCTTTAGCGTATACACAGAAAATTCATCTCAAGTATTCACTGTTTACTTAGAGTTTTTTCTTTGTTCATTTAGACATTGAAATTACATAGACCTAGGATCAAACACTTGCTCATTTGCTTGTTAATTTTGTAATCCAAGACAAGTTCTTTAAGCCTTGTTTAATTATCTATAATTTGGGGGACATTATTAATAACCTTCCAGTGTAAGAATTAAATGATGTAATGCAAGTAAATTATTAGGATCATAGCACTTAGTCTTTTTTTTTTTTAATCCCACTGCCATCAAGTTGATTCCTACTCGTAGTAACTATATAGAACAGACTAGAACTACCCTTTACAAGCCTGTAAATCTTTATGGAAGCAAATTGCCTCATCTTTCTCCTGTGGAGCAGCTGGTGGGTTTGAACCACTCATCTTCTGCTTAGCAGCCTCTTGTGTTAACCACTGTGGCACAAGGACTCTTACAGTCATTGTTAACTGCTCTTATTTTGATGACTATAGGAGCAGTAATATTTGAGGTGGGTCCTGTAAAATGGCAAAGAAATTGTTTATCAAGGGGGAATGCTCTAGTTAGAGGGAGTATTATGAAAAGCAGTAGAAACTCAAAGAGCATGATAAACTGAGGAAACCAGGTATATGCATAGAAAGAAGGGTTTAGGGAAGAAATGAAGCGAAGAGATTGTAAAAGTATGTTGCATTCAGATAAAAAGTGGGCCTTATTTTTCCAGTTGAGGAATATGGATATTATCCTTTAGGCAGTTTGCATCCAGTGAGAGCCTGAACTGAGAAGGTGGCAGTGGAATTAGAGAGGATATAAATTTGAGAGAGATGTAGGTGGGTGATAAAACAAACAAACAGAAAAACTCACTGCTGTAGAGTCGGATCTGACTCATAGTGACCCCTCCAGAATTAACCAGCAGTTACCATTGAGTCGATTCTGACTCATGGCGATCCCACATGTATCAGGACTGTGTTCCATAGGGTTTCCTGTGGCTGAGTTTTCAGGGTTATGTTGCTTAGCCTGTCTTTCAGGGCACTTTAAAGTCCAACCTTTTGGTTAGTAGCTTTGTATAGTAACTGTTTTCCCCACCCCCAGACTTCTAGTAAAGAATAAAGCACAGCCAGCATTCAAGTGATTTGTGATTCCAACATTTATAACTTGTGATTGTTGTTGTTATGTGCTGTTGAGTCGGACCTGACTCATAGCGACCCCTCCTTGGATTTCTGAGACAGTATCACTACGGAAGTAGATTGCCCAACCTTCCTTCTGAGGAGTGGCTGGTGGGTTTGAACCACCAGCCTTCTGGTTTGCAGTCAAGTGCCTTAGGCACTACACTACCCGAGCTCCTATATAACTTGTGAGGATGGTAGATAATGGCCCTATAAACTGAGCTATAGAACGTAAAAAGATTAAATTTGCAGAAGTGCTACTTTATGTCATGATAAGAGATGACATTTAG